TCTTCACCTTGAAGCCCCCGCCCTGAAACCCTTCTGAAGTCCCCTTCAAGCCCCGCTTGAAGCCCCCTTCACCTTGAAGCCCCACTGAAGCCCTTCTCAAGCTCCCTTGAAGCCCCCTTGAAGCCCTTCTGAAGCCCCCTTGAAGCCCTTCTCAAGCCCCCTTCAAGCCCCCTTCGAAGCCTTCACCTTCAAGCCCCCTTCAAGCCCTTCTCAAGCCCCCTCGAAGCCCCCTTAAAATCTTTCTCAAGCCGTCTTGAAGCCCCCGTTGAAGCCCCCTTGAAGCTCCCTTGAAGCCCTTCTCAAGCCCCCTTGAAGCCCCCTTCAAGCCCTTGAAGGCTTCACAAAGGTGAAGCCCCCTTCAAGCCCCCTTGAAGCCTTGAAGCCCCCCTTGAAGCCCCCCCTTCAAGCCCCCCTTCAAGCCTTCTGAAGGTGAAGGGTACTGTTCGTTTTAGTCTTCGGATCCTTCCTGTTGAACGACCTGGCGGAAGCCAAGAGGCGTTGGACGGAAAAAAGAGATGCTGAAACAGAACCAACTGAGGATCAAACTTTCAATGGAGTGAAATTCCATGTTTTCCTTGCTGCTTGCAATGAGCGCTCTTTACAGTTGCAATCAGATGAAAACAGCGAGATTGCAGAAACAATCTATGAGGTGATCAATCATGGATTGCTTTCACAGCAGTGAGGATGATGGAGTGAAACAATCCACCATCGACAGTGCGATGTTTGCATACGAGCGTTTGCAAAACTTGGACCCAGCTTTTGTGGTGGACTTCAGTGCGTTGGAGATTGAGAACTTCAACACTGGAATCCTTACAGAACCTGATGTGGAAGATATGCTTCCACTTGACATGGATGATGAATATACGAGGATTGAGTTGCCAAACCCATATGAGCAATACAGTCCAGAGGATAGTCGCTTGAGCAAGCGCATCAAGCAATGCGTTGGAGCAGGTGACACCGAACGTTGTCGTCGCAATGCAGAAAGACGAGCGATCATGGTGAGCGTTTTGAAAGTCTGCAGACGCGACCCAAGTCAGCGTCACAGAGCAATGTTCATGATGCAAACTATGGACGACATATCGCCTGGACAGAGCGAATCAGAAGGTGAAAACACAGAGAGCACAGATGACTGATATGTGAGAAAAGTTTCCAAAGGAAAGACTTTCAGCGTTTCAACTGGACAGTGCGCAGTGAGTTAACTTGATCTCACTGGCACACTCTTTCAGTGAGAGGCAATGAGCGTGGCATAGGAAATACTTCTTTTGCTTTCAAGCTGTTGCTTCAAAGAACTACAGCGTGACTTGTACGAAGAGCGTGCAACTCACGGGCGGGGTGTGTAGATGTTTTACCACAACTTCACCCTTTTGGAACCAGGCGATCTCGTCGAGTAGTGGTATAATGCCCGTCTCAGGACCGTGCATAGACAGCCAGCCGCGGATCGATTCCCCCCGGGTACGGGGCCGCGATCGTGACGTGGTAGACGAGTAAGTCTCAATACACCACGACCCGCCGAAAGGCACAGGGCGCCGGTCAAAAAAACAAAAAAACTTCACCCTTTTGGAACCAACTACAACTCACGTAGTGATTTGGTAGTTTTGTTGGTCAACTGATCCAATTTGGATCTTTGCGCTTTGCCGAGAGTGTTTGTTTGCTAGTTGAAAACTACTCCAAACGTTTCAACAGTTCAGCATGCAATAGGCATGGTGAAGACATGGATTTCCGAGGCTTTTGGTTTGCAGGAAAAGTTTAGACTTTTGAACGCTTTTGATGCTCAACGAGCATTATGATGGTTAACGAGCACAACCGACACTGCGGTTGCACTCGTTATGCTTTGTAGTTGAGAGTTGTGATGTTTTTGTAGGAAACCGAACCTTATTTGACGTTTTTGGAAACATTTCAACAGTTTGAGAACCGAATGAAAGCTTTTGATCCTCAGTGGATCGCTTTTAGGAATTTCGTCAAGACTGGAATCCAGTTTGCCGTTTGCACAAAAACCACTCCTTGGTTTTTGTGACCTTTGAACAGTATTTGAACTGAATACCCAACGATACTCGTTGGCTCAAGCCCGAGCGAGAGAAACAGAGTGTGTGTTGAGACGTTGCTTGTTGTCTGGAGTGATTTGAGCGAGAGAGCACGAGAATTTGACTCACGTTTGTTATTTGTGTGAAAGCCTTCGGGTAACTTTGATCGCGATAGGTTTTGTTTTGGTTTTCAGGGCACAACTTAGCGGTGCAAAGTTTTCACGCTTCTTGGCAAGAAGTTCGCTGGGGACGGCCCCAAGGTCCCACCTTAGATCTTGACAGCGCTACAACACCGAAAGTCGTCGGTGGGAACTTGCCCAAGCCATTGATGATGTGGTCCGTTCAAAGCTTCTGAACAGGATGGACGCTCTCATTTTGAGGGGGCACATGCAATTTGCGGCCGGACATCTCTACGGCCGTGTCGCTTGCAGATGTTTGGCGATTGTGACTCAGCATGCAAGATGGTGCTGAAAGCTCCAACATTTCTGATGCAGCTTCGAAGGCCTTGATCAGGTTCAAGGACATGCTCGTGGATGGAAATCCACGTGTGATTTCTTCAAGATCCTCGATGTGTTGGCACTTGTTTACTGATGCATCACATGAACCTCAAGCTTCAACACCTTTTGCTGGGGTAGGTGCTGTCCTTGTTGATGGAATGGGAAATAAACTCAGGTTCTTGTCTGAGAAACTGTCGGAAGATTTACTGAAGTGGATCAATGTGAGACGTCGCAAGACAATTATTTTCGAATGTGATTTTTTCGCTTTACTTTGTGCAATGGTGACCTGGAAAGATTTGTTGTTTCGTTGAAATGTCGTTATACACACTGACAACGATGCGGTGAGAGATTGCTTCGTCACATGCCATACAACCAGTGAAAATGCATTGCTAATTCTTGATGTTTGAAAAGTGAAAGTCGGAGTGAATGCAACTCGTGGATCACACGGGTTCCAACTGAATCAAATATTGCTGATGATCCGTCAAGGTTGGAGACGCAGCAACTGATTGAATGTGGTTGTGTACGCGACTGTGTTGATTGTGTGAGCATTTGGCAATCGATGGTGCAGACTGGCCAATGCTTGACCAGCCTGCCAACCCCATTGGACAAAACAGCGTGTTGCAATGCGAGGGTCATCAGTGCACAACTTAGGAAAGCAGACCAACCGTAAGCGATCTAAATTGTGAAATGATGTGATGATTGTGTGTACATGACTCAACCGAGCATTTAGTTTGAAGGATTGAATGTCAAACTTCTGAAATTTTGGACAGTGGTCCGTGGATGTCAGTTCAATACATGTCAAGTATCAATTTCCTTTTTGCTTTGATTTTTTTCGCGCCCCGCCCTCAGCCACCTTGATAAATGTCAGGGGGTTGAGGGCCAAACCCGAAGCCTGGCAATTGACCAGCCTACCAACCCCATTGGGCAAAGCAGCGTGTTGCAATGAGAGGGTCATCAGTGCAGAATTTGATACTATCTCATTTGATGCGTTTGCGCTCAAACGAAACACGCGTGAAAAATAATTTTTACGTCCTTCACTTTGTTTTTTTCTTTACCCAGTTGGAAATGTCAAAAGATGTGGTACAGCTTGGTTTAATAAAATCACGGTCCTCCAAACCGGTCATGATAAAACCAATTGGTCTCTAGTTTTCAAAACATTTTTTTGCCAAACACGTTGAAACGAAGTCCACAGTGGGAAAGTGTCAGTGAACAAATTGGGCATCTCATTTTGTGCTTGCAACAGTGAGTGTGCACACTTCATATTGGCAGCCACGGCTACATATTGCCGATTCTGCAGACATGGGGCTGTTGAGAAAAAATGTCGATACTTTGTGTTTCGGATCCGCTTTAAAAACTACTGTAATCGGAACTAAACCATGGTTTGCAGCTTGAGTGTTGTTCTTGGGTGTCATGGAGGTATTGTGAGACATTTCCAGTTACGTCCATTACTCAAACATAGGGACTTGTTTGTGCAGATTTGTGCAGCATGTTGCCATCGCATGGGCGATGCTAGAGGTGCCAGTTGTTTGACTTGACATGTTTTGACCCGTTTTGACCTCTTAATTTTTTGCAACATCGCATGTTGCGTCAATCGCATGGGCGATGCTAGAGGTGCCAGTTGTGTACTTGACATGTTTTGACTGAGTTTTTGCAACGACCGATGCGATGTGCAACGGAAATATTTCCTTGTCCTGGCACCATTCAGTTTGTTGTCTGTTTGAACCGAACAAATCCAATTTTCTCAACCCAGCAAGATCTGGGTTCCATTTCTGGGTACGATGAAGCTGACCCAAATTTTCTGTGCTGCCCTGTGTCGTCCGTGTTGTTTTCTCGAAATTTTGTTGCATTTTTTCAGACAATGGAACTATTACAATTTTCGGCGCTTTTCAATCTGAATTGCAGGCGATGTTCGCGAGATGGCTTTGATGGCCTCTGTTTTGGTGCGCCTTTGGCCAGGGACAGCCGTTGCACGTTTGCAGGATATCCAAGAATCCACAATTTCGGAATTTTAATGCTGGTAGATATATTCTCGTTTGAGAGGTCATCAACAACAATCCAGGCAGTTTGTGTTGTGCTCAGAAATCATTCTTTTGTCATAATGTGGCCTTTGAATTGTTGCACATGGTTGAGTTGTTCTGTGACATTGAACCTCTATTTCTGTAGCATTGCGGGGGTTTTCCCCAATTGTCTTTATTCTGTGGCTCAACATCATGGAATTTCATAGTGGTTGCCGCACAAAAAAAAATGGAATAAACAAACACCATTTATGTTTCATATGACGTATATTGTTGATTATTGTTAGACGTTTTGAGGGAATATGAAAGCTAACCAGCCTACATCATTCCATAATGTTGGAAACAGGTCCATGAAAATTTTATGTTTTTTTTTTTTTCAGGCATGGTGCAAAATCACAACGTTGACATGATTGGCCAGAATTGTCAAATGCAATGCAGATATTGAAAAAACAAATCAAAAAAATTGGGGATCGCGGAGCTGGCCTCGGCATGAAGCAAAAACGTTGCTTCAAAAATTGGGCCCTGGTTTCTCGCGCATGAACTCGGCACCGAAGGGACTGGATCTTAGCTGAAAAGGAGACGGAGAACATTCAACCCGCCGACAATTTGAAAATTTTGTTGAAACAAATGAAGCAGTTGTGCTGGGTTCCTCCCCAAGGCATTGCACTGCATCACTTCTGACTGTTCAATTTGGAAGTCATGCAAGGTCCGTACTCAGATGGGAAGAGGCAAGCTCAAAATGAAATCAAAAAAACAATTAATTAACTTTTCTATGGAATTTGCCAACTAATGGCCTGCATTGGCCAGTGACAAGATGAACAGGGACAATGTCCGAATTGGATCGCAGGCCCTGCGTGGCTGATTCAGAGGCTTCCTCCCTGGTACTGAACGCTCTCAAGCGTGACCGGTCTTGTTCTCAACAGAGAATTCTTGCTGCCAGCTAGTCATTCTATGTCCTCCTGCTTCCTGAGAGGTGGGAACCACATGAGAAAATATCACCACAGAACTATCCACAAAATTTTTGTTCCTTTGCAGACAGGATTTCCAGATCATTTGCGGAGTTGATTTGAAAACTGGACTTTTCAGGTTCGCTGCTGTACTGGATGATCCAGACTTGGAACAAGTTTCGCTACAGATGGACTCCCCGTGTTGTGATTTAGGTAGAAACTAGTGATGTCATGTCATCATTTTCTGGAAACCAATTCTGATTGTGGCGATCCCAACTTCCTAGCGACTGCATTTCGCGCTTCTCCTGCTTAGAGTTTTCAAATTAAACGTTTACTAGATCGACCAAAATGGCATTTACAATGTATCACTTGTCCTCTTCTCCTTTGACCATTTGTGTTTCCATCTATATATCCAAGAAATTCCTTCTCATGCAAAATTCATGACATTGTGCAGGAAGTATCAGAGGTGTCTGGTGTGGTTTTTCGAGAAGGTGCTCCAGCTGACACAGTGCTAGTGCTCCAGGCAGGGGCAACCCATAGGTTCTTGGTTCAAACTTGGCGTCAGTTTGAGTGTCAGGAGGGGAGCTTAGAGGTGAGCGTTTGCGGAAGGCAAACGCCTTAGCCAATTGGGGTTGCTTCGCTGCAGTCGTGGAGACCTATTTCCAGCTTGAACATTGGCAACTTGAGCCATGAAAACTGCCTGTTTGTTGGTTATGATAGGGGCTTATACTAGCTGGTTTATTGGGGGAAAATTGTGACCATTTAAACGACCAACCTAGGTCACCCAAACGGCGACTCCCTCGCGGCTGCTTGTTTCTCACCTTGAGCCGGAGTTGCCTGCAGTCAGACCACCTGAAAGGACACCAAGCCATGTTCTGAATGGCCACTGCTTTCAAATTCCCTATACAAATTTTCAAAAGCAGCTAAGACATCGCTCCCGATGCTTTCATATCTTACACACCATGGCAGAGTTGTCTCCTAGTTGGTCGAAGACTTCCTCTCGCGCACCTCTTTGGTGCCTGGAATCATAACTTCAGATGACTCAACCAAGCTCTCCCCCACACGAGCAGCTTTTAGAGTTAGAGAGGTGGAAGTCCTCCAAAGGACTTCCACGGTCCTTTCCGTGGGACAGGATCCGCTGAAGATATTCACCGTGATTCTTCACATCAGCTGCTAACTCAACATAGGAGAGGCGATGGTTCACCACTTGAGGCAACTTGCAGATGGTAGAGCCACAATCCTCCAGGTCAGTCACCCCTGGTGGCAAGTTAATGGGAGAAGTTGCACTGGGAACAGGGGGGTGCTGGTGGCCCACCTTTGAGTGAGCTCCCATCTTGCCCGCTGGAGAAACATCCAGGCACTCGTAGTCGAAGTCATCTTCGAAGGAACACTGGCGCTTGCTCCCATCCATCATTGCTTCATGCAAGGCAAAGCCTGACAGGTTCTCGATCATCTGGGGAGTCTGGCCGGCAGCATTCATACGATCCAGCAGGCTGCGCTACACCATTGTCTCCTCCTTAGACGGAGGCTGAGCGCTCTTGGAAGCAGCGCTCATGGTGTTGCGAAAGCCAAAACCACACTCTAAGTGCACAGCGTTGGTGTCAAAATCAGTTTGGGCTGAATACCACACTGTGCTGAAACTGCTTTCTTACGATTTATCCAAAAGACAATCACCACAAAAGCCCCTGCTATTTACAGTGATAAACGAAAACTGCTAGGCCCTTGCTCTTGGTATTGCATGCACAAACAAATTGATACACGTAGAACACAGGTGACCGCAAATCGATCTTGTGCTTCCAGGCTGATTTCGGCTCGAAAAACTTCCGGAATAGATCTGTACACTTGACATTCCTTTTCCAAGAGACTTGCGAAAACTTCTTCTACTGATCATCAAAAGATTGACCATTGGACTCATTGCCCCTCTGACGGGCGCGCTCTGCTTTTGCTCGTTCCAGAACTGTGGTTTCATCGGCTAGCTGGTACTTGGCTGTTCGGACGACCGAACGAAGAAGATCCAAGGGATCTCACTTATCCTTGGTGAGACCGTCGGCCAGCATATGTCCGGTCGGACACCAACGAGGCTCCAGGCCGCATCGGAGAATGCATTGACGAATGATTGCAACATCGATTGCAGTACGCTTGTCATCCAGGGTTCCACCTGACCCCAAAGAAATCAAGTGATCAAACAAGGACTTGCAGTCAGTTATGCCAATTGGTGGCCTGCGTTTCAGTACCGCCATGCAATCTTCCAAAGGAAATGGGCCATCCAAACACCCAGCAAGAAGCAGCAAAGACCACTCAGCCATGCCGGATGCTCTAGCACAAGCCTGAGTTTCTCCTGACAAAGTAGACGAAACAACTCGAGGAAGTTTGTATGATTTCCAACCAGTGCAGTGGACTGGTATTCCTACTTGTTAAGCTCATAAACCGTTAACCAACCACCTTGTGTCTTATGGTCATCACTGTTGGCAAAAAAGTAGCATCGGACCAAAAACACACTGTGAGCTGATCTGGAGGGATGAACGGAACTCTCATTTCGAGATCCCGTTGTTGACGACACCTCCTTACTGCTTGATTTGCTGCCAACAGATGCTGCACCGATGGTCAAGGAAAGGCCTGCTGCGATATCGAAATCTGTACAGCCAAGTCAGGGCGACTCTGAGAGGATATTCAACCCAAGGCACTGTTCACTGCTCGCAGCGCTGAGATTTCCTTCTCAGTGGCTGGCAGCCAAGGTTTTTTCACTTGCTCTTTGGAAATGCTGATTGGTCTGATGTGTTGGACATATTCCTTTTGCTGAAAGGTGATCTCACCATTGGAATGTTGAGTGTAAACCGTACCTAAGAATTCCCCTTGTCCTTCACGCCACTTTCTGAAAGGAAACCACATCCCCCGGTAATGGTGTCATCCACGTGTGCATCGAGGACACCCTGCAGGTCCCCTGATTCACCATGGCAGAAGTACAAACAGCTGTCCAGTTTGGATTTGGTGAAACCTGCTTGTTGGGCAACTTTATCAAACTCCACATACCAATTGTGAGGGACATCATTTGACCCGTAGATGTTACCTAAGACCTGCACAAGGCTACCACGGGGTATGCCGGGCACTCCTCTGGGAGGAAATTCAGCAAAGACTGGTTTCTCTTGAGTCTGCTTGGTGACATCAGCTTCTAAAAAGGCACCCTTAATATCACCAAGACTGAGGAGCCGCTTGAAACTCACTATAAGTTGAAGGATGATGCTACGGCTGGTTTGAGACAGCGTCGGAGAATGGCACTTACTCTTCCAGGTCTGGGTCATGATGACCTCTGAGGCACCACCTTGCTTTGATACGGCTCGAGTCATCTTCCTTCTTTTCAGTGATCACAAAACGTCTGCTCATAATCCTATCACTCTTATGCCGACTATTGTGAGCACGAATCATCAAGTTACCGTCCTGAGAGCAAGAATCGAGGGCTTGAACCACATGCTGAAGGGAAGTGCTCACCGCGGCTGGAGGTGGAGGACCGGATTGAGTTGTTAGGTCCACATACTGATTTCCAAGCAAGTTCTTGCCATCGGCCACAAGACCTCTGACTCCCAAGAGTTCTCTCCCATCCTATTGGGCCACAGTTCTTTCGGAACTTGATGCATGCCGGAGATGCTCCATACCAGCGACCGCCTGCACGACGAACTCCCTTGACATACTTCTGTGTTCTCCAGTAGCTGACAAATCACCACCGGCCATGAAGTCTCTTTCGACTCTGGGACGTGCATTCATCCTTGCAGCTGTGCAAATTGCTTGAGTTCGGGCAGCCTGGGCATCAAACAGAGGACTGATTCCTGCTACTGGATCTGGTTCATCCTGTAACAAGTCACTGGCTACTCGAGGATTCCTTCCGAAAACATTGAGCCGGACTAAGACCCTTGCTGTTGAGCATCTCGTTCTTACTAGTGCATGCGGACAAAACACACTGCTCAAACTCCTCCCTATTGGTGGGTTGTACCTGGTCTAACACTTTCTGGAGGACCACTTCGAAGAGATGCCCATGCTTTTCCACTTTCCCAAGCTGGTTGTGGGCCTCTGCGGCAGTCGTCAAGACTCTGGTCCCGGACAACTCAAGTGGATCTAAGAAGTTGCTGGAGATGTTGGTCCGGGCAGGATCCAACATCACTTCCACTGGCGCACCCGCACATGCTTGCCATCCCTTCTGGAACAGAGACCTGAGAAGCTCACCTGTTTCCACCTCGAAAAAGGGGTGCATCATTGGAAAACCCGATGCAAAGTCCACCACGTTCAAGCAAGACACCACCTGATTTGTCTCCCAACCAGGAACCTTTTTGACATCCAGACCAACTCGATGATTAGAATCCACTATTTGATGTGCGGAAGCTGGCAAACATGGTGTGGGTCTTTGACGGTGAAAACAAATGTCGCACTTGAAATTTGCTGCTAACCGCAGAGCTTGTCTGAACCCCCGGCGTTCTTGAGCACACGGACCATTTCTCGACCGGTGGGATGCCCTAACTTATTATGCAGTTTACGGAGCTCAGTTTTCACTTGATCATCGGACGGGGATTCGTCCCGAGCTGCCAAAACTTCGGACACGGACGGACAGGCTGGCACTTCACTACTCAGACTTGGAGGGCTGGTCTGAGGCATCTGATCCTCAAGGCACGCAAAACTGCACAGGTGAGTTTCTGGAAGTACACACGACAACCAGGTTCGGCAGAAGTCCTCAGTATATTTTGATTATATTTTGAAGTTTTGGTATGCATGGAATGGCCTGGACAGCATTTGGTGAGCTGAGTCATGTCTGGATGGGACACCGCCAGACCTGTTGGTTTCTTCACTGGCAGTCCTGAGTCTGGGTCATTCAGCTCACAGGCACAGAGATCGCTTCGGCACAGGTGCATACGCTGGAGAGGTTTGGCCATGGGAGGGTACTTCCACAAATTGGAACTCCACGGATGCTCCACCAGAACCCGACCTCCCCGACCGAGCTGCTTCTTGATCTGTTGCACCACGAAATCTGCCTGTTTCTGCGCTATGCGACGATTGTGACATCGCTGCAGCATTTTGAGGTGTTGCTGGTTCAAGTGATACCACCCAATCGAGTGAACACAAGGTGGACATGCAACCAGGAATTCTGGACACTGCTGATCTAGAAGCTGATCTACCTGTTGTTGGGTTTTTCTGTCATTCAGATTCCAACCCTGCAAGATGTCAAAAGCTAGACCCTTCTTCCCATAGTGCTCTGCAACTGTTGAAAAACGAGGAGGACAGAATAGTTCAGCTACCAAACATTTTAACTTCTCAGGCGATCCCTTTGTCCAAGCTCCCGCGTGAGCCATGATACAACGATTTTCTCGCAGAGACACCTTCTCCTTCACCTCTGGCTTGATCTCATCCGCTGACTTGGAAATGAGGGCATCGACTCGGTGAGGCCCGAAGTTGATCACATCGATCACGAACTGGTCAGCAGAGTTTGTTGCTAAAGGCCGAGGCAAATCTCCTTGGATCGAGAGGGTCTCCTTCTCGAAGTCAATGACAGCTCTCAGGCTTTTCATGGTGCTGCGACTGAGCAGCAGAGGTGCATCACCTTGGATCACTGCCGCCTTCACTATGCCAGTCTTACCATGGATCCCCACGGGCAAGCGCACCACTTTCTCTGAGACCTCCTCTTGACCATTTCTGAAGGGGAAAACATTTGTCTTCTTCTTCAGAGTAGGGATGCCCTGTTCCTTGTCCTTGAGCATGCGGAAAAGGGTGTTCAGAGTTGCTTGGCCAATCAAAGTTCGACCACAGCCTGAGTCGATGATGCCGAAACCCGGACTAAAAAACCAGCAGGGCTTCTTCCACCCCAGTATCACTCCAGACGACCGCGGCTCCAGCCGCTGCTGACCCCCTTCTCCTCACCCTTGGCGCCGCGGCTGGGACAGTTGCGAGCCCAATGACCCACCTTTTGGCATTTGAAGCATCGAGTCTGACGACGGACTTCCCCGACCTCACCAATGAACTTCTTCTTGACGATTGTTGCTTGGTTGAACTTCCTGGAGCGTTGAAGACGTGCTATCTCAGCCCGCTTCTCTTTCCATGTGGCTGCGAGGATCTCGACCGCCTCTTTCTCGGTAAACACATCCCCAGGGGGGATTTCTTCAAGTTGAACTCCGTGCTCACCCACGAAGGCCTCTACCTCCTCGAAAACCACCGCATCTCCGGAACTTGACGCCGGCTCCACATTTACATCCTCCTCTCTCCATTCCTCATCATCAACCAGTATGGCACCTGCCGGTGGGCGGGTCTTCAAAGCTCGTCCACTGGCCTTGAAGTCCGGAAAGCATGACTTTATTGAGGAGATCACCGTGACGAGTTTGAGCTCGCCTTGGTTGTTGGCAGTGACTATGGCTCGTTGATCTTCACTAAGACCAGACTAATGAAGACACACCCAGCCATGAGCCTCTGCTGGAAATTCAATTCCCACCTTTCCGCGGCACTTTGCAAACGTGTCTGTCACCTTGGCGGCCACTCAGCCATCGACTCACCATCTTTCGGAGATAGCTGAAAGACCTCTCTCAGACACTCTGCCATGGTCGTGCTGCATCTTGTCGGGAAAACGCCAGCACCTTCCAGATCAGTTCATCCCCATCGTTTTTTGCCATGTCATCCAGCTTCAGATGTTCAACACCATCCAGCAGGCAGTAGACAAAAGGGACCCCTCTGAGCCTTGCAGACGTCCTTCATGGCCATTATCTTGGCCTGAGCCCAGGTTTTCCACTGTCGATATGCCTTACCGTCCAAGTCATTGCCAGAGAAACGCTTGAATTGGCCCCCAGCACCACCTTTCGCCTCGGAGGCCATGGCCACTGCTATCTCCCGCCGGCTTCGCCTGAAGCCCGGTGAACCCCTGGTGCGAGCTGCCTGGCAGCTCCGCTGCTACCAGTTAAAATGGGGTCACCGCCGCAAACGACCAACCTAGGTCACCCAAACGGCGACTCCCTCGCGGCTGCTTGTTACTCACCCTGAGCCGGAGTTGCCTGAAGTCAGACCACCTGAAAGGACACCAAACCATGTGCTGAATGGCCACTGCTTTCAAAACTGTATAACTAGTAAAAATATAATTATAATAAATTGGAACCCATATCATGGCTCACTTGTGTTTCTCGGGGGCGAGGCATCTAGAAACCCTTGGCCCTGGTGCTTGTGTTGGCAGTGCTGGGGTGCCAGGGCCTCAGTATGCAGATTCTCTGGTAATGTGGTGAATTTTTCCAACAACAATTGGGGATGGTTTGTTGTGGGATTGCGACATTGTTGATAGTATATGATATTATTACTTTACTACCTATCATGCCCCAAAGGAGCAACCCACTGTCGCAAACATGAGAAAAATATCAACCTGAGAAATCCCGAGTTGAGAAAAACATGAGATCTTATCCAAGGTTTTGACTTTCCACACAATGTCCCTTATGTGCAAGAACTGTTGAGTCTCTTGATCCGGAAGCAGGTGGTGCTTTGGGTTCTTTTTCTTGCAGGATTTGAAATTGAGTAAGGCATGCAAATCAATGGAACTTGACTTGAGAGTTTCCCGCCTGAAACCAGGAATCACGCCATGTTGTGTGCCAGTGGTCCGGGTGGGATGGCAAAGTCGATTGACTCCATTGGCTAAGGTTGAGAAAATTTCATCTTCACACAGTCAGCACACCAAGCGGAATCTCTGCACTAGTGTGGTCGACCAGCATCCACGAGATTTGCAGGCGGAGACTACAAACTATTGAATATTGTTATCTTTCATGTTGCAAAATTTTGCGATACATGGCAATCGAATCAAATCCGCAGATTGCTCAACAAATGGGAAGAGAAGTGCGGTCCTCAGGGAAATTATGCAGAGTGTTGGGAGGGATTTATCAATTATCTCAGAATCAATCTGCATTAATTCCCCTCCCCTCATTGTCTAACAGTTGTTCCTTTGTGGGAAGGCACTACTTGGTGTCAAGAATCAATCGTTTTGGCAGACAATGGGCTAGCATTCTCGAAATTGCAACCACTAAAGAATAATTTGGGATGATTTGGGCACATTTCTGTGTTTCTGCTCAGGCATCATGCCGAGAACTGGACGCTTGACTCACATTGACAGCCCTTGCATTTGAACAATGCTTGCATTTGATGGCGCTTTGTTCGGCAATGTTTCAGCCGGCCATGTCCTCAGGAAACTTATCGAGAGAATACTCTTGTTCGACTTCTTGCCTGACCAGCAGAAGGAGCCAGTCCTTTGTATTGATTATTATTGATTGATGTATATTGTATGTCTGCGTGCTTTTAACATGCGACCGTGGCCATGGGTAGGCGCGTTTGTCTGAGCTTCCTGTACGGGTGCAGGCGCTTCTCTTACATCTGTTGGATCAGCGAGATTGGAATCGAAGCAAAGCAAAAGTGTAGCCGTGATGAAGACAATACCAAGTTGTGCATCAACAAAGCTTGACAGATTGTAGGGTGGTAGTTGGATCCGGCTCTTCAGGTTTTTCAGGCTGGTGACCTTGCTGGAGCCTCGCTTCTGTAGTATCTCCAGTTGTCTCCATTGCCAAATTTTGCCCACAAATATGAACGCATGATAACGTATGTTTTTTTTTTTTAAATCTTGTTTGCTGTTGCGGTCTGGGGTATGATAGTGGTTGTCGTGGTTGCAGCAGTTGTATTTGGTGAAGTAGTGGTTCGTACTTGTACTTGTATAGTTTTTCTGTGAGAACTCGGGTACTATTGAGTAGATTACTAGCTGGGAGGGCAACCAATAGAAACATGTATAGACAAATAAACAAATCGTCCTTGGAAGGTGTTTTTATTTTCCTAATGATTGTTTATTATTGTTCTTTGTTCCCCACATCATTGTGTGGGGTTCTTGTTTTTTTTTGTGCACTCCCGCCCGCATCCGTCCGCCCGACCTCCGCGTCACCCACTCACAGCACACACACCTCTCTTTCACACAGCTTTGTCACACCACTTTGTGACACACCTCTCTTTGACACAACTTTGTCACACACCTGTCTTTCACACCACTTTGTCTCACACCTGTCTTTCACACACACACACACCTTTGTCACACACCTCTCTTTCACACGCCTTTCGCACACAACTTTGTCATACACTCTCTTACGCACACAACTTTGTTACACACAACTTTAAATTCACAGGTTAGTACCGTGAAAACTGAGGTTTTCTTTTGTATTTTCTCATGTTTGTGCAAAACTGCTTCCACTGCGGGGGAGCCATTCACGGAAACAGTTACTTTGCGTTTTTCCTTGGATTTTGCATTCTATTGATTGGATTTTTGTTTATATCGGGAAAACAAACACGATACAAACCAACCACCGAAAACACAACTAAATAGATGCAAACATTGTACTCGGCTCATTGTGGTCTAATTGTGGAAAACCTCTTAATTGCATGTCTCCCATCACCACCGCTGAAAAGAGCAACCGTGGCAGTGTTGGGAAAGGCTTTGCCGGGCATGTGACAGCAAATGTGGTAAACCCCGTGGGAGTAAACCTTGTGGCAAACGATGTGGTAAATCTGTCCCAGGAGAATGGCAAAACGCACAAAAACAAGGTGGTAAACGTTGTGGTAAATTCGAGTTTTTTGAGTGGTAAACCTTTTTCGTGGTATTTTTTCTGTGGTAAACCTTTTAGTGGTAGATTGTTTTTGTGGTAGAAATGTGGTAAAAGGTGTGTTACTTTTCAAATTTGACCGTGGTAAACCTTTGTCATTTAAACTGCATATTTTTCAGGAAAAAGGTTTTGCCACATAAAAAAAATACCACGAAGCATTGCAGCACGCTTACCACACCTTTATCACACGTTTACCACGGAAAAAATACCACAACGTTTGACACACTTTTGGGGCGGAAAAAGGTGTACCACAAGGTTTACCACAGAATGGCGGTTGATGTCTTGAACATTTTTGAACAAAAATGCAAAGGCTTTAATTCCCATGTGGGCGGCATCGTGGATTCCGTGGTCTTCTGGGTGGATTTGATTTCACCACATTGGTGTGTGAGTGTTTGTGTGTGCGTGTCTAAGGCTAAGGAAGGCTGTGCAAATTCATACGTGAGAAAGTAGAAATAGAGGGCAAAAATCACACAGTAAGTGCGTGGGGGGATTAGGCGGCTGGTTTGTTGAAAATCGATTGGGACAAGAGCACGTCAGCACGCAAAACAGACAACACGACCAAAACAATAGGAAAAAAGTACTTGGGTGCGTTCGACGGGTACAAACTTGTTTTGTGCTCGGGAAGGGTTCAGCGGCAAACAACTTCAAAGCTTCCAAGTTCATCACATTAGACTTCTTTACAGGACTGTGTGGTTCCACGCCGGGACCTGTAATTAGTTTGGGTCAAAAATGTGCCTGTTTAAAGATATCTTGTAATTTGGGTGCGGTGAATCGAATCCTACCCGCCATAGAAATAACTGTACCTCACGGGCTTGCAACCTTAGTAGGAGGAGGAGGAGGAAAAGGAGGAGGAGGAGTAGTGGTGGTGGTGGCGGTGGTCGTCGTCATCGTCTTCGTCGTCGCCGCTGTGGTTGCCGTCGCCGTAAGGCTTGCCGTGTTGGGGGGTGTGGTGGTGATGGTGATGGTGGTGGGGGTAGTGGTGGTGGTGGTGACGTTGGTAGTGATGGTGAGAATTTTTGTTCTTTGTTTTGCTGGCATGGTTTGCAAGGACAGACAGTTTCTGGCAATCCTTCTTGGTTCCGCAACATGCATTGCATCGCTCATTTCTGAGGTTTCGTCCAAGGGTGACATGGTGTCCTCAATTTTCGTTGTGAAGACTGGCAGGCCAGCCGCTGGCAACGTCCTGCATGTCCTGTGTGATCTGTTTTCACACCTTGCCCGCCGAGGCTTAGAGGCGTACTGGATCCTCCAGGGCACCACCCCACCCCAAGGCGCATATGCGAAGTTTGAGAACGTGTGAACATGTTCTGAAACCCAAATCCATTGCTCAATACTGCTCAAAATCGATTTTGTCATTGATTGTTTTTCGGGTTGCCGAATTTGTGATGCAAAAATGATGATGTCTACAAATGTGCGATTTGCCAGGCTACATGCAAAATATCTTCCTGGAGATGTTGTTTGTTCTGGTTGCTGCCTACCCCAGCGGCGTCAGTTTCCACTGAGGCATGTGCCAACTGGTTTTTCATTTGGGTGTGAGTCAAAATGTTGGATTTGCCAAATGCCCAGATTTTTTGCATTTCACCAGAGCGAACCATGTATTTAGTTCTTAAACTTATTAGATGCATTTTGATTCGCAATTAATTCTGCATTTTCAATTTCTTTCGTGCTAAACGATTCCCCAACGCACTGTTTTGCAGGTGGCATGTTGTTGCAGACACGGACTGCAAAATGCTGTCCTTGGACTTTCAGACGTTGCTTCAGGCCTGATGGGCGGTGCTGCTTTTTGTCTGGTTTCATTTTGGACTTCCTTCTCCTGCTGGTAATTTGATAGAGAACAAAGCCACATTCTGGCAGTTGTTCGGGGATGACCTGGACGAATGCCTGCAGCGTGCATTTATGGTTCACTCCTCAGACTCTTTCGAGTGCTTGTGTTCACGCAAGATTTGGCAACTTTTTCCGCTCTCAGAAAATCCAGTGCCATTGCCCACCGTTGTTTTCCAAGGTTTTTGGCCTGAACCAAGTGCCCTTCATGGCTGGCTTCAGCTGCACGCAGAAGCTGCTCCTTGCGAAAGCTATGGAGGTTGCAGAGCAGTGGATGTATGGGCCCAGCTCCGTAGCTCTGTACCGAAGATTTGTAGGATATGGTAGCTACAGTTGTAGCTACAAGTTGTTATTGTAGGATATTGTAGGTATTTGGCAACTCAATTATCATCAATATAATGTCCACTTGTGATCCATCGGATCCTAAGTGAATTCACCAGTCTGTTTGTTTCATTCATTTGTTATATAGTTGAAATCCCGGTAGGGCATAGGTCTGGCTAAGCGCTCCTCTCGCCGGTAATCGCACAGCGCGCAAAAAGTCAAAAAGTTTTCGACTTTTCGATTTTTCGACTTTTCGGGTGAAACTTTTCGCAAAAATCCAAAAAGTCAAAAAGGTTTTGACTTTTTGACTTTTCGACTTTTCGATTTTTTCGACTTTCAGGTGAAACTTTTCGCGAAAAATCAAAAAGTGTTCTACTTTTCGGCTTTTCGACTTTTCGGCGATTTGAATTTTTAAATTTTTGTTTTTTTCGACTTTTCGAACATAAATCTCCTGGCCTGGGAAACTTTTCGGCTTTTCGATCTTTTCTTTTTTTTTTCGATTTTTTTGAATTTTTGGCTTTTCGACTTTTCGTTTTTTTTTCGACTTTTCGTTTTTTTGGACTTTTTGCATTTTTCAACTTTTCGCCCAGAAAAAGGAAAGCTTTGACCACTTCGACTTTGCTTTTATGACTTGGCAATTCAAAACCGTCTAGAAAAGTCATCAAAGTGTTCGACTTGGTGTTTTCCATCTTTGTTCAACTGTTGTTTTTTTGTTTTTTCTCACTGATGCAATAGGTACGACAAGTAATTTATGAACCAAAAGAATCCAAAAGATAGTATAAATAGATATGGACTGGCTGGCTATGAAAAAATTGAACAGGTTCGGCAATAAACATAGACAGAGACAGATATACTTGCGTATCCAGTTTGATGTCTATCAATGCATCTGCGTGAGTCGATGAACAGCTATTTATTTTTTGTAGGTCTTTTGCTAGGCATTTTCGCGACCCACAAACCTGGACCTCGCTTGCCTTACGGTTGAAGATAGGTGATAAGACAGGAACCCTTGCGTATCCAGTTTGGTGTCTATCAATGCATTTGCGCGAATCGGTGAACAACTATTTTTGTGGGTTTCTGGCTAGGCATTTTCGCGACCCACTGGACCTCGCTTGCCTTATGGTGGAGGATAGATATATGATAAGGAACCCTTGCGTATCCAGTTTGGTGTATTGCTTGGGTGGTTTAAGCGCAACTTTTCGCCAGAAAAAAAGTGTTGGACTTTTTGACTTTGCTTTTCTGACTTGGCGATTCAAACCCCAGCCGTGGTAGAAAGCGTTCATTTGGAACATCAAACCGGTTTTTGACAGTGGGGAGCAGAAAACCTGCAATCAATATGTTAGGATTAGATTTTGCGTCGTCCATGTACTGGATTTTTTTTTTTGTGTGGGTTTTTAAAAGCTGGATACTGAAAACCCACAAACGATTGGTTTTCACAAGGAGTATAATTATTATCTTCAGGATTCTTCAGGATATAATTTTGGTTCTCAAACACTTGTGTTGGGCATTGGGCTTGGTTTCGTGGATGTAATAACTCTATGATCTCACTCGTATCTTTGAATTTCCATGCGAAATCCGTTTTTTCCATGCGAAAACTATGTTGTGCTGATGTAATAAGATACTGTGTTGCTAGCGTTGGTTCTTCAAGGATATGCTTCAAAGTTTTCCGCCCGTCGAAAAAATTGGGGATGTCCTCATCAAGTTGGGGAAGGCTTGCTGGTCCTATTGGAACAATCTCATTACTCCTCAATGAGAATCTAAAAAGGACTAACTCCAGAAAGAAATTAAGGTTTCTTAATGGTTGTTTGTTTTTGTGCTGTCTACGGCGAGGGGTGATCGTGGACGCGCCTCCGTTGCATTCTTTTTTACAAGAATCATGGCGTCCTGCTAGGTGGCAGCAGCCAGGCTCAGTAGTAGAGATGGTTCTCTTGGAGACATCTCGTTGCCCGTTTGCAACCCAAAGGTGAAACAGGTTTGGCGAGACCTGCGGGTTATGCTACACTTTTCTTTGTGCGGAGCAGCACATTTATGTAGGTACATATCTTTCTCATCTATTCCCATATATCTATATATATATAATATTTATATATGGGGTCGTGTAAAGAACAGACATAGGATATTCCATATACATTCCCCAAGTACTGGAATTCTCATGCGCTGGGAAAAGACATCTTCAGCAAGTCAATATATATATATATATATAGGATTTGAATTCCTACATGTATAAATACATACAATCACGAAATCTCTTCATACCATATATCACTTGTCAAAGTGTATGCACGTGTCAAAGTGGAACAAGTATGGTATCATCAAATGCAATCACCTGATGATAACTGGACAAGTCAGAAGGCCTGCCAGATTGTTTCACCAAATCTGTGGCTGTTGGGCACCGAATTCACCTTGCAGTGGCTTCTCAGCCTTCAACTTTTTGAGTTAGCCACACTCTACGCCGATCCTTGAGATAGGTGCAGTGTGCTACGCAGTAAAAGAGGAAACAGATACTGAAGCCCATCGTGGCAACGCTGAAGATGCCTAGCGTTGTCGTGGGTAAAAAAAGCCGGCCGCGTAAGGTAAAAGCTTGAGCCAAAATGGCAACGTCATCCCTTTAGACTGGTCGTTTAAAAGCGATTCCTAGTTCATGGATGACATGAGTCTTGTTAAAGAAATGAAATGGAGGCGCGGCTGCGATCACCCCTCGCCGTAGACAGCACAAAAACAAACAAGCATTAGGAAACTTAAATTTCTTTCTGGAGTTTGCCCTGTTTGGATTCTTATTGAAGTAATGAGATTGTTCCAATAGGACCAGCAAGCCTTCCCCAACTTGATGAGGACATCCCCAATTTTTCGATGGGCGGAAAACTTTGAAGCATATCCTTGAAGAACCAACGCTAGCAACAAAGTATCTTATTACATCAGCACAACATAATTTTCGCATGAAAAAACGGATTTCGCATGGAAATTCAAAGATACGAGTGAGATCATAGAGTTATTACATCCACGAAACCAAGCCCAATGCCCAACACAAGTGTTTGAGAACCAAAACTATATCCTGAAGAATCCTGAAGATAATAATTATACTCCTTGTGAAAACCAACCGTTTGTGGGTTTTCAGTATCCAGCTTTTAAAAACCCACAAAAAGTTCCAGTACATGGACGACGTAATCCTAACATATTGATTGCAGGTTCTCTGCTCCCCTGGAAAGCAAACAAAAATAAACAAAAACTTCACCAGGAAAGAGCAACAAAACAACAATGAAAAAACCATGTGCGTGGATACTGCCTGTGCTCCAATGCCTCCAAAACCCCATGCAGTTTGTCACTTTTCCCGGGAAAATTTTCGCAAAAAATCAAAAATTCAAAAAGTTAAAAAAGTTTTTGACTTTTCGCTTTTTCGACTTTTTGACTTTTCAAATTTTTCGTTTTTTTCACTTTTCGACTTTTCGGGCAGAAATCTCCTGGAATGTGAACTTTTCGACTTTTCGACTTTTCGCGCTCGAAAATCGTGATTTTCACAGTGTGACCGTTACCAGCCAGAAGAGCACACAGAATTGGTCTGGTCCCCCCGGTCCATCCTCATCCATTCTCATCCATCCTCACCCTCCTCATCCTGGTCTTCCTCATCATTGTCATTCCTCTTCGTCCTGATCAGCCTGTTCGTCTTGTTGGTCGTCGTTGTCCTCATCTTCATGATCAGCATCAGCATCAGAATCAGCATCACCATCACCATCACCATCACCATCATCATCATCATCATCATCATCATCATCATCATCATCAATCAGCATCATCATCATCATCATCATCATCATCATCATCATCCATCATCCATCATCCATCATCATCATCCATCATCATCCATCATCATCACCATCATCACCATCATCATCATCATCATCATCATCATCCATCGTCGTCCATCATCATCCATCATTATCCATCATCATCATCATCATCATCGTCATTTTCCTCCTCCTCCTCATCATCATCCTCCTCCTCCTCCTCATCATCATCCATCATCATCCATCATCATCCATCATCATCACCATCATCACCATCATCATCATCATCATCATCATCTTCCATCATCATTCATCATCATCCATGATCATCCATTATCATCCATCATCATCACCATCATCGCCATCATCATCATCATCATCATCATCATCATCATCATCATCATCATCATCATCATCATCATCATCATCATCATCATCCATCATCATCCATCATCATCCATTATCATCCATCATCATCCATCGTCGTCCATCATCATCCATCATCATCATCATCATCCATCATCATCATCATCATCATCATCCATCGTCGTCCATCATCATCCATCATTATCCATCATCATCATCATCATCATCATCATCATCATCATCATGGTCATCGTCATCATCATCATCATCATCGTCATCCTCCTCCTCCTCATCATCATCATCATCATCCATCATCATCCATCATCATCACCATCATCACCATCATCATCATCATCATCATCATCATCATCATCCATCATCATTCATCATCATCCATGATCATCCATGATCATCCATCATCATCCATCGTCGTCCATCATCATCCATCATTATCCATCATCATCATCATCATCATCATCATCATCATCATCATCATCCATCCTCATCCATCATCATCATCCATCATCATCCATGGTCGTCCATCATCATCCATCATTATCCATCATCATCATCATCATCATCATGGTCATCGTCATCATCATCATCATCGTCATCCTCATCATCATCATCATCATCATCATCCTTGTCGTGGTCATCAGAAGCACCATCAGCATCAGCTGTCATTGTACCCTCTGGTAATTTAACATAGCTATTGAAAATGACCATTTATAGTGGATTTTCCCATTAAAAATGGTGATTTTCCATAGCTATGTTAATTTACCAGAGGGTAATGTTTGTTGTCAGCGGCATCGCCAACTTTATTTTGCCTTTCGTTTTGCATATGCTCTATTTATTTTCCTTTGCATCTTGATCTTCATTCTCGTTTGTACAGCAAAATGAACATCCAGAATGTCTCTAGGGCAAGAACAGGATTATATAATATATATATATATATATGTATACACACACACACACCCTGGCAATAGCATGCCATTGTTCAAGGAACATGGCAAAAACATGGTTCCACCATAATGTAAAAGGTGGAACTTTCAGAAACCCTTGTCATCGCCATCCGTGACCATCCAAAATCCAAAATATTCTGCGCCACCTTCATTACTTGTTTATATCATCTCCATCGCTGATCGTTTGTCATCCACATCATGATTATCCACACTTGCTGTCCTTCCTAACGATCCAATCATCGTTGCCGTCGCTGTTGTCATCGTCCTCATCGTCGTCCACAGCCCTTGTGTTTCACTCACGGTTGCGCCGATTTCACTCGGCAAGTCCATCGGAAGGTGGCCGTCTACAAACCTGGAGAAACTCTTGTGGATGTGCAGTCGCCTTCTCAGAAATGCCAAACAGGGTGTTGCTGGACATGCTGCACACAGAATCTTCGGGACTGGTTCCATTTGATATTGAGACGTGCAGAACCACTTGGTGCTTGGAACTGGGGACCAGGAGTCAGGGCGCAAAAGGTGTGTGAAAACATGTTGAAATATATATAATAATGTATATAATGATATATAATGTGAAGAAATAGAATTCACATCGAAATTGAAACTCGAGGTTTGCTGTGATCTTCGACGGAGCCATGCTAGTAGAGCGTGATGATGTGGTGGAGGACAGCCACCGGCCTTGAGTGAACTGAAACAGATCCAAATTCTGACTCTCTGCAATTTTAGCCGACACATCCATATCTCACGGTAAATCCCGAAGACACATGATTGCAGCAGCAATGATTGGAAGGTGAGATAGTCACTGCAGGTTGTTCCTGTGAACGCCACTGCCGGTACATCCTGAGGAGTTGGGCCATGGTGATCGCTACATTGACTCCACTTTGTTCTCCCCGCAGGCCCAAGTCTGACCATTTGAACATATTCCAACTGAAACTTTTGAAACTATGAAGCACAGTGAAGCCTTTGAATTTTTGAGCGTCGAGAATCGAAAGATGCGTCATTTTGATGTCTCAGAACTTCTACTCTGGGGCCGCAGGCATTTTTTCACACTGTCTTGTGCAGGAGGAAGCGGAGAGGATTGATCTGGATTGTCCGGAGGACCCTGTCCGCAAATGTGGTTTATGTTGCAAACGCGCATTGCTTGGGTCGCTGCCGATGTATGTATGTACATACGTATGTATATATATATATTATATGTATTCGCTTCATTGTGAGTGTATATAATGATTTGGCAACTGAGGGATATTTGGCGCGCATCTGCTTGTACACCTGAGGATCAAGCACCTTTGTCAGAGGCGAGTGTGGAGGAGTAAGATTTTGAGCAAGATTCTGGATTTGCTCAGCTAGTATTTTCTTCCACATTGTTTCACATCATTCAGTGCTCTTGGGTTCATATGATTTTATATGACAAGGATCCTGGGCAGTGTCAATCAGGATCTGGATCTTGTTTTGGCAGGCCGCGCGACTTGTAGCGGGTGACGCAGGCCTCACAGTGGCAACCCTGGCAGGAAAGGGTGCTGCACAAGCCTTCAAGGAGCTCCTCTATGACTTGAAAAATGATCTCCTTCTGTGCTTATTTTGGAGTTCGGACTTTATGTAGAGGTTGCTATTGGAGAACCATTCGCATTCAAGCTTTTGTTCAAAGGGTGTTACCTGACCAAGGCATTTTCAAGTTGCAGAAGACAGCTGAAGCATGAAAAAGAAAGAAGTGATCCACCGAAGCAAAAACTGATTTGCGGCAGGAACTGGGTGTTTCACCAGTACTTAGTGCAGAGGACAGAGTCGCAGCATCACCCCTCAGATTAGGACATCGGACACTTCATTTCTGTTAGCCTTGGGCAGTCTTCGCAGCAAACGTGTGAATTTTTCACCTGTTGTTGAAAGGACACTACTGACATTGCCTTGGAGGTCCTTCAGGCCCAGATCTTGCAATGGCTTAATGGCTTGAGATGAATCACAGCTGCTAGAACCTGATGATACAAAGCATTATGAGGAATTATTAATCATTATTGCATTATCTCTATATCTTCACTGTCTGTGACTTCCTTGCGTTGTCAGGCCCGTCGAGTGTCGTGGCCCAAGTGATTCATCATTTGCTGAGGATATGCAGCTTCTTGTGTTGTTAGTTTGGATTGCGTGAGTTCAATATTTTCCAAACTTTCCACGACAAGACTCAGGTCCGTTCTGAGACATTTGTCTTGCAATCAGATTGAGCGTTTGGTGAAGCAGTCGCCTGGACTGCAAGCAACTTTTGTTTAGAGTAGGACAGTGTTGGACGGTGGTGTACTGTCCCAAATGGGATTTTTCAATCACCTCAGCTCAGGTTGGTGCCTCGGGTCTATGCGTGTGAGACTCTAATTTTCGAACAGGCTCGGGAGTTTTTGAAGTGGTTCGAATGTGGTTCGCCAGAATTCAGCTTCTTCATTGAGTGATTCACTGCACAGGGGGAGATTGGCACTGCCTTCTACATCATCGCCAGTGGGCAGGTAGCTGGATGACTAGGACTAGGATGAGTCTCAGAAGCGTTAGACTACTTCGCTCGACGAAATAATCGGCAGGTCCAGGTGAGCATTGATGGTAAGCCAGTTCGCACATTGGCCAGGTGCTGCTGATTGTGGACATTGTCCTTGCATAGCTGAAATCTTCACATGCTATTTCTGTTACACCTCGAAACTCCATTCGATTCACCAACCAAAGCTAATTTTCATATGTAGTGCCTCGTTGGTAGCCTTGCCAGGCACGGTCATTTTGGAGAACGGGCATTGTTGTTCGAGGCTGTATGGAGAGCATCTCTAGGCCACTGCATGTCACTGCCACTTCCTTCGCGTTGCTAGGAACCTCGCAGTGCCTCCGTGCGCGTGCTGAGTGTTGAGGTGCATGTGCCCGGCATGTGCTGCCGATGCTGCCAAGTTGCTGCATCATTTGACTAGATCAACTGGAGCCTGGAGCGTGCTGGAACCCACTGAGAGGCAGAGCTCTGGTGTTTGGAGAAAGCTGCCTTCGTTGAAGTCTTGACCGACCATTTACGCGAGGAATCTTTGGCTACGTCCGGCTGTCTGACTGTGTCCCAGTTGTTTGTGGCAATTGCTTTGCCAAAGTTGCTGCTTTCGTGAGTGCAGGAGATTATGCGGCGGATTGAAATTCAGGAGCTGCCAGAACATCATTGCCACAGTTGTCAGGATCCACTGAATGCAATATTTTGATATATATATATTAATATAATATATATATAATAATGAAAATAATAATAGTCATAATGATAATAATGATAATAATAATAATGATAACAATAATAGTAATCATAATAGTAGTAATAATAATTACATATATATATACACATACATAATAATATATGTATATAATATATAAATATATGTATATATGCATATAATATATAAGTACATGTATATGTGTATATATATATATTGAACATAATGATCATAATAATAACAATGATAATGATACTAATAACAATAATAATTAATATATGTATATACATATAAAAATATGATATAACATAGTATAATATAATACAATATAATATAATACAATATAATATGATACAATATCATATCATATCATATCATATCATACAATATGATATAGTATAACATAACATAATATTATATAATATGACATAATATGATTTAATACAATATGATATAATATAACATAATAATAATGCATGATTATCATTGTTATCATTCTTACATGTATATATATATATATACATAATTATATATTTATTATTATTATTATGTCATCTCTTATCCCTTATCATCTGGCAGGACTCAAATGTTGAGCTACAAGATCTCACACATGTACGCGTGATTGGCATTGGTGGCTTTGGAAATGTGAGGCATCTTATGATCTGTTGCCTTATTGTCTTGCCTGACTCGTCTCTGGATAATGCAAGATCAAACAATTCAGACTGCTGTGCTGCGAAAGGCTTGTGGAAGACCGTCATACTGGCCTGAGGTGCGAAGTGTGGGTAGGTGTGTCCAAAATTTTCCAATGCAGTGTGACAATAGAGATGGGACAGCTAGATGCGAACGTTTGGCTTTTCTTTCCACCGCCCAAACAGGTGACGTTTCTTTGTGTACTGCCATTCAGCAACAGTGGATTTGTTTTTGCTCATCTTCAGCGCATTGCAGCATCCTCCGCAATAGAATGCGAGCGTAAATGCCCCTGCTGGTATGATAGCATGGAACGGCGTGGGTATGATTTTATTTGGGCCAAGTGCACTAAAGATACTAAAGCTTGTTTTGCGAGCCATAGCCATCACTGTCTCCGCTTTGTTAAATATTAAAGTTATTAAAGATGGCAAAAGACATAAAGAGAGAAAAGAGCTAGGAGGACACAAGAAGAAAGAGAGAGAGGGGCGCGAGCAGGGGCCTGAGCTAAGATAGAGCAGGCCCCAATTAATTGGGCAAGATAGATTTAGGATGATTTGGGGGAGAGGATGCACCCGCACACTTGCGAAAAAATTGAAGGAGGGCTGTGGGGCTGGGTATTTGGGGTTTGGCTGATTCCATTTGGTGCCCCGGCCTGGCCGAAGCTTCGCAGTTAAGTTTGGCGCGCTTATGGCTTCAAAAAAGGCTTGAGGCTGACTTAAATTGGTGCCTGGGCTTCGTGATATAATCGGGGCTTGGGACGGATTCAAATTTATGCCGGGTATAGCTTAAATAAAGGAAATGGGAAAGAGAGTATACAGGAATTTGTCACCCTACACCTACACATGTCCTGAACATTGCTAAGTTGGGGTAAAGGGGAAGGAAAACAGAGCACACAACAACTTACGTTGGCCGTGCTGGCTGAAGTTGGCGGTCTGAGTCGGGCTTAAGTTGGGGGCCCGCATCTTGCTCAACCAGGTCTGGCTGCAGCGGGTCTGGCTTGGTCTTGGCCGGGTAAAGGTTAAATTGGGGGCTATGGTCTGACTTTTTGAGTCTTTGGCGGGATATAACTCAAATCTGTGGTGGTCTGGCGGTGGCGGGGTGGTGGGGTGAAACCTTCATGTTAACTTGTGCACGCGCACTGATTCCACGCTTGACTAGCCTTCATGTAAAGTCAGATGCATGCGACCCTTGACGAATCTTCAGGACAACCTACACAGGCACTTGAGGCTACGTGTGACTAAAACTGCACGTTCACTTGCATACGAAATGATGTGATCCATGAACCATGAACAATGACGCCAATAACAATTACTCAGCGCTACCAATGTGGACGTAACCTTGTTTTAGGGTTGCATTTTACTCTCTCGATCTCTCTCGTCTTCCAATTCCTGATGTGTCTAATTCCAAGCTTTGCACAGCGCTGCATTTGTTTGGGTGTGAATGGGCTTTTGGGTCTTTAGCGCGCTTCCGGCGGAACAGGAGGAAGACAAAACCCAGCATATGTTGTCGAGTACCAGCTTTTGTTTGGAACATTGAACATCATTGAACCTTGAAATAGGTATGCTCTGAAGCAAGTCAAGAAGGCATGCTGCGTTGCTTTGATGTTCACAACAATTAGAACAGTGGCAACCAATTTGCAGCCTGTGCGGCAGGTGGATGGGATTGTGCCGGACCATGTTCGCCAGAATCTGATTTGCGATCACCAAATTTCAGTCTTCCTCTGGTTTAATGCCTGCCCAGTTGACTCACTTAACTCGAGGGGTTTGTGTGCAATCTCAGGTGGGGAGTGCGGACTACTTGCAGAGATGGTTCGCAACTTTCTTTTTGAAGTGTTTCGAGACTTTGCGTGCTTTTTGCCATTGTGTCACTGGAAAAAAACGGCCATGGGAGGATCACCCGTTCATTTTGGACATCATGAACACGTGACCAGATCCGACTGCGTATTGTATGCACACCTTATTCAACAAAACATGCTAGGTACGAAACGTCCACGAGTTTGTACATTCTCATGGAATATATCATGGGTGGAACTCTGCGGCATGTGATCAAGGCAGGAAGGTTTTGGCCATGCTCGAAGGTTGACATGTACACATTGATTGATGACAAAGGCAATGCTTTCAACTTCAGCATTGTGATTTTTTTGTGTGTTTTCAATTTATGAATTGCAACATACCTCGTTTGGATCATGGCATCGGTGGAGCTGGTACTAAATTACTGCATCGGTTTATCACAGTTTGGACCAAAAACAATACCTGGAGGTGTCTGGAGCGTTGGACCGTGCTGCAGCATGTTTCTATGTTGGTTCCTTGATCCTCGTCTTGGAGGTCCTTCACGACAGGAGCCATGGTGGATTCGTCGTCCGTGTTTCTGTCCAGATATTGGGGATATCATTTGAACAACCAACTGAGGATTGGATACCGTTTGATATGACAGCAACAGGGGTATAAACTTATAGAAATTTGGGATTCCAACCAAATACTGTAACAATATCGAAAAACACATGGTGGCCAGTGCAAAAGGAACATCGTCTATCGAGATCTGAAACCCGAGAACGTGATGGTCGATTCCAGAGGCGCTGTCCAGCCGACAGATCATGAAGATGATACAACTTTAGATGTTGAACCTCAAACTTCTCACCTGAGTCCTTAATATCACCCAAGAACTTTCTATATACTTCTTCTAAACGGAGGTGAATTTACAAATATGCAACGTATGTATGGTATCATTTTGTAGAATCGTCTCGTATTGAATCGATATCGTATTGATTCGTATTGAGTATTGTGTTTTGTGTCCTGTGTGTTGTGTCGTGGGTTGTGTGTTGTGCTCTGCCTGTGTGTATATTGTGTGTATTGTATAGGATCGTATCTACGTATGTAGACACATTTTGTGATTTGGAGACTGACGTGTGCCATGCGAGGCTATGTCAAACTCATCGACTTTGGAATTGCAAAAAGGCTGGACCAGGACTGGCTAGACTTTCTGCAGACCATGCCACTGGTTCTAGACATGAAAATTGATGTTCTCTACGGAAATCTGCATTTTTGGCACCCTATGCTTGAGGATGGTCGGACTTTCACCTGTATCGGCAGTCCTCACTACATGGCTCCAGAGGAGGGACCACATGAGTGACGCTTCCAAATTTCGCAAAGAAAACATGCAAGCTGCCGCCAGGCGATCCTAAGCCGTCGTGAAGGCTATGGAACAGAAGCCACACCCACGGACATCCGCAGATGCCAAGTGCGTTTGATCGGGTGTATCACCATGATACACCAGGTCATTTTCCTATATTTCAGCCTTTCGTGTTTTAGCATGTCTTGAGTTAGGTTGACACTTGGGCACTCGGAATCCTGCTCTTCGAACTTGTTTGTGGATGCCGACCTTTTGGAGATGGGGTGAAGGACAAACAGGCCCGAAAACATCCTGACGGGCTGTAAGTGTTTGTAAAGATTGTGGAAGATTCCTCTACAGTTATACTTGATATGCATTCACGTCAATGTCAGCACATTTGCATCACGGCATCTCATCAGGAGGTTTTCGAGGCTATCCTCAAGCAGGCTGAGTTTCTGACACGATGCAATTCGCACTCATGGTGATTCAAAATACGGTAAGCGGCCGGTACAGGCCCTCAAGTTCCCCGAGAGCTATTCAGATGAATGCGGCCGAGATTTGCTTCAGGCCACTTGACATCAAAACCATGAGAACATGAGCTTAAAATGAGTTGTTGAATTAGGAGAGACGCAGCCTTCTCAGGCCATGCTGCAGAAAAGCCCCGAGAATCGACTTGGCGATGGAGTGTTTGGATGGGATGACATCAAGGACTGCAACGCGACCTGCCTTAGTCATAGTCTTATGGAAGAAAAGTTGCCTGGCTCCAGGAACATCCATACTTCACAGAGCCCAGCAGCAACCTTTTCGTTTGGTGCTTGGTGATAGGCAGTGATAGGCAGCAGTTGAACTGTTGGATGTTTCAAGATGTTTCAAGCATCCGAGTGGTTCCAGGGCGGTGGTCTTGCAACGAAGGATGGCATCGTAGAGCGTCTGGTACGTCCACCCTACACGCCGACCGGCGAATGCCCTTGTGATGGAGTGCCTCAGGCCGCTTCAAAGATGCTGTCTGAATGCTTTGAGCCCCCAGCTTTGATTTATCTACCTACCTGGACCTTTAGTAACTCCCAAAACGATAGAAAAGTGATTCATTACCATTTTAGTTGGATTTGTTCTATCTTTTTGGGGCTTCCTATACTTTCCACTGATGTGGTTCGCTGGCAGGAAGTCACAAAAGACCAATGGAGGGAGGAGAAAACCATCGCTCGGACTCGCACCACACTGGTGAGGCGGGCTGTGAGACTCGAGGGAGCGGAAAAAGTGGGTGGAAGAGAGACCCAATGTACAAAAAAAACACGGGGACAATAGGTGTTGTCGTAGTGTTCGCGTTCCGCAATATGCAAATATAATCTATATGATATGTATATATACCTTCTACCTCCGAAGCCTTAGAATTTCCAGGATGTCGAAAAAATCCAAACTTTCGAGAGCAAAACCAGGTTTTGCCCTGTTCTGTTCGAGCATGTGTTTTGTTTTCCTTCGGCCTCGCTGTGCTGCCACCTTTTGCGGCTCAACGCCGTGGAAATGGCCCATTCGAATGCGCCCGGATCCCAAACAAAGTGGCAGGGTATTGGTTAGAATATTTCAGAACCATGTTGTCAATCTAAATTTCTTCAGGCTTTCAAAACCAGGGCACCAATCTCCACATACTGCGCGTAGGCTGCAACAAGACTACGCTCAAGGGTTCTTTGTATTGTGAGTCTCGGGGAGACCCTCCGGCTTAGCCGGGAGGGTCTCCCGATAAAGTCTTCGTCGCTCTGGGTTGCACAATACAAAGGATTTAGAACAAAATTGGTTTTGGCAGCCTGGGTTTCCATGTCCCACACCAAATGGTCGATTCGGTGGAAGTTTGGCATCAGCAGAAAAAAAAGTTGGCCTTGACTGTGGGCAATCTGCACAGCTTTCCCATGCAATTTCAAAAAGTTGGCGCCCGAGACAGCAATTTCTTTTGCTGCATTGCTTGGAATCCACAACTCCCAGCTGTAAAGACCGTGGAGAAAACAATCCATTTGTTTGGCCGCACCAAAAGCGAATCGAAGCAGCAAATCACCATTGACGTGCTCACCATGCTTCTGGCACATTGCCAAAAAGAAACGCATCAAACATGTGGTGGTGCTTCCCTTCGACCATGTGCCGGCTGGGAATACCGTTGTTGCCGACCATCCCAGTTTGGCCCTGTTGATTCTCCTGAGCTGGCAAGTGAAACCTGTGGCCTTTTTCCATTGAATGTACTCGGCATTCAACTTCTCCAACCTGCTCTCGACGCTCCCTTGGTATGCTGAACTGATGGCCAAAACTGCCAAGCAAGATGCCAGGAACGTCTTCCCTGCTCCGAGGTGCCATGCATGAAACAAATCGAAGCAAAAGAAATTTTCTCTGAAAGATTCTTCCATTGGCAGCTGCAAGACTTTTGGCAGTGTCAAAAATGCACTCAAAGTATTCACTGTCGGAACCCAAGTTGGAGGACGGATGTGGAAGTTTTCCCACTCAACGCCTGTCATGTCAGCGCAACACAAGTGGCAAATGCCCTTCGGAGGGGCACGGCTACTGGCAGCCTTGGAGATGTTCATGAATGTACGGGATAGTGATCCACATTTTTGTATGAATGGCCAATCGCCCATCACTTTGACAACGCAGAAATAGAAACGACCATCCTTGGTTTCTATCCCGTTGTCATACAAGCTCCGTAAATCAATGCAAATCGCATCCATCAGGTCCTGGAAAGGATCGGAATCCAAAGCAGCATCGTCTTCTTCACTGTAGTAGCTCTTTGGAAGAACTGAAAGCAAAAATCGGGTTGTCCAAGTAGGCTGTTCATAATTGAGTTTCTGAGCCAAGCGCTTCGATTTCTTCTCATGCTTGGAAGTTGAAAGCCCAAAACCCAAAATGGAATGGGTTGATATAACCATCAGAGCTGATTTCCGCAAAGACCTTCCCTCATCTCCGTGCAGCAAGAGTGCACAAGTTCTCGACAAATCGTGGCCAGGGCGCTTGTAAATTGGATGGTTCGGCTCGATTTTCTGGTACCTAGTCCAGAAAGATTGCCAAATGTCGCAACATCGCTGTTGGTCACGATCTGTCAAGCCACACAGCCTGTGCCAGAGATGGGCCTGAAGGATGAAAGTAGCCCAGTCACTCATTTTCAGGAAAGGAATCTCATCGCTCCCAAGCTGAACTCTGCTCAAAGGAATAGGCAGCTTCAAACCGAATCTTTTTGCTACACGCCCTGTGTCTCTCTCACTGTTGTTTTCACGACATGCGGCTAGAGATGCCACACTGCTTTGGGCAGCGCTAGGGACCTCCTCCACGACTGCTTTGGCAGTACGAATTGCCACTGCGCATGCCACCTTAGCGTCAGTAGCAGCTCGCTTTCATTCAATTTGCCAGGCACCAGCAGCCCAGAGCGACGGTAAATTGCATATAATTTATACAAGAAATATGAAATATATTATAACACAATAAGGGTTAGAAGGTAGCTGTATATCAACTTAGGGCATGACTTGGAGACATCTTGATTTGGAAAATGTTGTGAGCAGAAAATCTGAGGCGGGAACCCCTTCGCCAATTTCATGGACAAAGCGTCGGAGGCCAGGGCCAGCACCTGGCCCAAAAAAGATCGAATCATATGCCAACGTTTTTACAACAGTCTTTGCAGACAAGAAGGTGTTGATCAGTTAAGCTTTCAAAACACAATTGAGGCAAAGGCAAATCTGATATTTTCTCGCTCCAGCATTTGATCCTACCCTAGTTTCCTTGATAGTCAAGGACGGCCATAAATTTCAACTAAGGCCGGTTTGCCCCAACGAATCTCCACCCTGTGTAGCCACTGGCTTGTTCCACTGCATGTATCGACAGTGGCAATTGACGCAACGCCAGGCTGACAAAAGCGATGGAGCTCCCAGTTGTTCAAAGCCGAGGGGCTGCTGGGATACAAACATTGGCGGGAAATTTTGATGTTAAGATAAGATGAGACAAGGTGTGATTTTGAATTTGTATGTCACTACATTTTCGAGCCCCCCAGCAAAGAACTGAACCCAGTTGTTAAAGAAAACAGTGAAAATCTAGATGCCTAAGCTCTCTTCTTCGCCTTTTTTGGTTTCTTATTGGAATCACCATTGCCACTGGGTCTCTTATTCCCCCTTGTCGAAGATCCACCAGGAGGCTTGTTCGGACCAGGGCTGGACATCTTGGTCAGAAACTGTTTGGATTTCCTGGGCGAGAATAGCATGGGCACTGACGTGCATGCACCTGGAATGTGTTGAGGTCCGAACCGCACTTTCTGCTCTTCGGCAGTGGCCCGACTGGACCTCAATGGCCGGGTGGGTTCATCCATAAGGCACTTGGTGACGGAATTCACACCAAGTCCCTGGCACAAAAGTCACCTTTTTCATGGCCTCATGGGCCAGATTCCACCACCTAAGTTTCAATGCGCCGAATATATCTTTAAACAACATATGGGAAATGAGCATTAAATATGGGAAGCAAGCACTAAACATGAATATTTTTGGGTCCCCGACGCAGCATCATACTTGGAATTCTCCCCTTTGGCCATGGTCTCTGTCAACACATCGTATTCCTTCTCAAGCTTCGAGACATGTTGTTCAAGCTGGCTGATGTACCTGAGCTTGAAACCATGGAAAAGGGCGAAGCCTATTAAGTCAATAAACTTGAGTATATATCCACAGTGCGAATTTTAAACATGTTACTGCTTCGCGGTGTCATTCTCATAATTGTCCCTCAAGTCCTTCACAAGTCCCTTCAGCTTCGTGGATTTGGTAAGGACGGAGTCCATGAATCGCTTGAAGTGCGCTTTGTTCTGCGAGCAAAGATCGGCAAATTGAACTTTTCAAATGTGGTTCATACATCATACTTGTTGGGACTTGCAACCCCGCCTCAGCAACTTTTCCATCGGGCAATTCCTTGTTCGCATCATCCGCCCCATCAAGGGCTCCGCGATCCATTAGGGCTTGGACTTGGCCAAAAGTACCGGGGGAAATCTCGACAGCCTCATCTGCCTGTCAAGCTTTGTTCATGAGGTATAGATTCCAAAACCATAGTTTCCATGGTTTCCACACTCAAAAATTCGAGCAAATAATTTTGGAATAGGATGCAAAATTGTTTGTCGAAATGAAGGACTAAGAAATGCGGCCTTCCGAGTCGACTTCTTTCTTTCCAAAATTTCATGTTCCTCTTCGTAGGCTCCATGTTCTCGAACTGTCACCCAATACTCCACAATATTGTCATATACGTTTGTCCTGAGCTGGTGTGCTAAGGCCAAACTGTTTGGCGTTTGGACCTGCAAACCTTCGAGTCCATCCAGCTGGGGCCCTGGCCGGGTATGGGTGGCATGCCGTTTTGGATCCGTGCAGTAGGCCTTTGCTCCGGTCACTCGCGACCTGATAGATCGGACGGAAGGATGGCCCCCGAAAAAATACTTGTAAATGGGATTTTGAAACATGCTTCAAACATATTGTCAAGATTTGTCAAGATTGCTTTGTGTAAGTAAGATCATCATTTCAGGTGAGCGACTGCTGCCAACATAAGTCAGATTTCATCTCGGCTTCGGAATACCAACCTTCCTCCTTCTTCACTATGATCTTCTTGCGGGAAGTCACGACCCTTTCCATTTCATCTATGAATTTGGCCTCAACAAAGGCCCAAGGGTAGGGTGCATTAAGAATTTTGTCTTTCGATTAGATGGTGAAGCGGAGATAAGTCTGCCTGATGATATAAACATATAAACTATAGTATGATAATCTGACATGGGAAATATAAAGCCACCCCACCTTGTCCCAGTTGACTGCCTGAAGGCATGCGGCCATGTTCTCCTTTTGCTCAGTTCCTTTCTCCCATTCAGCTTTCAGCCATGGAGGGCACTGCAAATCACTCCGTTTCTTCTTGTTGGCGACCATTCTCCGAATCCTAGCTTTAGCAGCATTGCGGAGAAGCTCCTTAGTGTTGCTATCTTTTTTCTAACCGACGAAACAATCAAGAAACTGAAACAATGTTCGTCTTGATTTGGATTCATTGCAATATATTGCAATACTCTGCTTGGATCAAATCAATGCTTGCAATGGACACGACGGGTGAGCCGGGATTTAGTCGGTTTCGAGTCTGGGGCTGGGTTGCATTCACCATCCAAAGTATCGGCAACTGGCCCCTGATCTGTGTCAAGTGATTCTTCCTTCATTTTGAGGTCCCCTCCAAGCGCAAGAGCCAGTTGGACGGAAAGGTCATGAACAGCTACTTCCTGGGAACAATCAGAACAAGTAGTGAAGTCCGTTTTGTTTTGCTATAATGGCCAATTTTTCTAGGACTAGGAATTCAAGAAGAGTCTTGAGGCAAGAATCATCATCTTGTGGTCCATCACCCACAAAGTAGTACCCATCATCAACTGCGTTCTCATATTCAAAGTCCTTTGGACGTGCTGATCCTGAAGTAGGTTCCGAAGCATCAGAAGTGGCCTGTCTCAAAACAATGACAGGAAAATAAAGCTCAAGTTCCAAAACATTTCAAATCCCAAACAACCCAAATCCAAGACAACCCAGAACACACCCTGCCTCTGAAGTATCTCCTGGAACTGTGCTCGGAGTCGGGACTTCGATGGACACACCATCTTCCTTGTCCACCTGAGGCTGGATTTGGCAGTGGACCAACCTGCTGGAAAGTCGATGAGGCCAGGGCAGTCTTGTCACCGAGTTCAAGAGAGATAGCGGCAATCTGACCTTCGATATCCTCCAGCCAAAAGGGGTTGATTTGTAAACCGAAATCATCTTAAGCTGATAGCTCACTACAAGTGTACTTTGTACATCTTTGAATCATTTGAATAGTCCTGAATTTGCTTCTGGATTGCAGCTTCATCGGCAGCCAAAGCGTCGTCCATGACTTGATTGAATCCTTCTCCCAAACTGCCGCAAGACCAACGTTTGGACATGCCTATCTTGAGTTTCTAACAGCTTGAGCACCTGCCAAGAGGAAATTGCGATTACAATCTGTTAGTTTGAGTATGTTCAATGAATGAAGAATTTCTCCACCCCATCTATACTGCATTTTCCATGAAGCACTTGTATCCATTTTCCCCTCAAGGTTTGCATCGTAAGGCTGTGGCTCATTCCACAGTGAATTGAGTCTCAAAGCTGGCCCTGAGTCGAACTGGGTCCTCATAGCTTATCAGTCGGTTTCGACAAAAAACCGAGTCGAACCCCAAAATATTGCAGATTGCATATCCTGATTTTTCATTACGGGAAATTATGGGATTTGTATGGGAATTTATGGGATTTTTATGGGTTTTTTACGGGTTTTTGATTTCCAGGATTTGCTAAAATATGGGAGATGTATGGGAAGAATATGGGATTTTATGGGAAGAATATGGGATTTTACGGGAAGAATATGGGATATCCCGACTTTCGACCTTAAAAAATCGATATATTCGATCATGGGTACCGAGAAATCCAATAGTTTCCAGCATTCGATACCCAAATTCGACTCTGCAGCAAGTCAAACCTTTCTAGGTTCCAGAAAGATTCTAAAATCCATCAGGACGTGGGATGGTTTCCCGCCAGTGCTTTGGCAGGTTCAAACTTGACCCCAGCCTCAAATAGGCAACCACCTCTGACAGTCGAGCCTGCTTGAACAGGCCCTCATCATCTTGCCAAGCTGCCTGCACAGTCGAGACCCCAGTTGGCATTGGGGATGGGTATGAGTGCCGAGTGCCACGGTTCACCAGGTCATCCCTCAAGCGAACAATAGCTTGCGCAAAAGGTCGAGGGTAATTCCTAAGCTCGGCCATTGGGGAATGCTAAGAATTGGGGCCCTGCAAGAAGCTATTAAGCACATAAACCTTTCGGATATTCCAAAGCAAACCACTACCCAAAACTGCAGAGATTTTCACAGCCAAGAAAGGGATATGTTCTGTTGAGGGACTCTGTGCGTTTGAGTTGTGACGACCCATGCCAGCACCGCTTCCCATTTTTGTTCACATACTGGTGGCATGTGCGAATTGTATGTTTCATTTTCTTCCAGCCAACATCAAGACGAAGAATTGCCGGAGAGTTGGCCCAGGCATATTGTCTTTTAGGGCTCTTGGCTCCATACCTTGACATCCACCAAGCAACCCGGCGTACCTTATTGATTTTTTGTGATTGGAATCGATTCGGAGTGTCAAACCTTTATTGGTCATATGCTCACTAATGCGAAACTGAGGACCTAACACTTTTCATTCCATACCATTGGTAGAGGGCATTGAGAAAATGAAGCCAAGCAGGGTAAAATTCGAGAACGCTAGATCCTGGCTGCTCCAGCACCCACACTCCTTGCTTCGCCGTCACCAGCATGCAAAGGCATATGGTCCTGCCAAGGCGCGGAAGGCAGAGTTGGGAGATTCAGATGTCAAAAAAAAGAAGCACAAAGGTTGGCACATATGTTCCTCAGTCCTCTCTAGTAGAGTATTGGATTCATCAACCGATGGACATGACAAGCCAATACTGTTGCAAGCTGATCTCTTGCTTGTCCCCGAATTTACTGCCACCAGGGAAGAACACTTGATTCCAAACCAGCTCAATAGATCGAGCTCCATGCCCTTCATCACGAACACCACTGCGAGACTTAGTTTGGCAGATGCGCAGATGCATGCAGCATACTTACTTCAAAACTGCTCAAGCTTGATTTAAGCTGATACTTAGTTTTTTCACATATTGGATGTTAGATTGCAACTTGGAAACGCAAATCCTGCCGGTGTTGTAAGATCCATCCAGTTGGTTTTTCGACCATGTGCACCAGGATCTTGACAATAGAGCTTATCAAATCGAGCTGACCGGAAACCAGCCTGCCTCATCTCAAATGTGCAGGAGGCTTGGCCAGCAAAATATTCCAGCCACCGAAAGTCCTGCGCAGCAAGGTTCGCCCTGCACAATGCTTGTAATTTATAAGAAACAGTGAGACCTGGTATAGGATCCGAATCATAGTCTCCTCTTCAAGATTGAAAAGGTTCGAAGTGAAGTATACGAGTACTACCACTTTCAAGAATTCCTCAGCAGCCACAGGGCCCCCAAAAAACACACCAGAGATTGTAAATCTCAAAGCATCACTAAAATTGTGTGATTGGCAAGTTTAGTTTGTCAAGTTCAAGGCGCTCGTGGCGCTTTCAACTTGTTCAGTGCCCACAGCATGGAACTCAAATCCATCTCATGATCCATGGCTTCGTGGGAAATTTCGGTGGTACTTTGAGCCAGGCAATCTTCGATATATAATATGTTTGCTATATGGTATGGATCATACTTATTATATACAATTCCACGAAACAAAGACCCTGCATCCAACACCCCTCAAGCATGACAGGAAGACGCTTGCGCTTGCAAATCGTCTTCTTCAATCGACGAGCTCTGGAGAGGCGAGGCGCCATGAGGTGAACCTCGGGAAAGGGATCATACATGGCCTTTAGGATGTAGGCATTGGCCTTGATGGTTGATACTTTGAGTTGTAATTGCAAAATTGCAAATTAATTGATAGCGAACAATGGTGGAAGCGTTTGGAGATTAACACACTGACACTCTCAGCAAAGCCAGTTTTCGAGCCGCAAGCTGCCAGGTACCTGATACTATGGCAGCTCTCGAGACAGAGGACTGGGCATCACCAGTCAGTTTGAGATGTGCTTTCATCACAGTCACCCACTATAGCTGGCACATTGCAAAGCTTTCACATATCAAGCAGTATGAAAACTAGATTTTCCAACTTGGGTGGCTATGTTCTACATTGCAGCAAGCCCCAATATCTAAGAAGCTTGGGCTGCAAAACCCCGGCCAAAAGTCAGAAATCCTCGGATTTCCACTAAACATTCGAGATGTTCATGTTTTCAATCGACGTTGTGCAACCGGTACAGCGCTTCACGACCATGGGCCTTCAAGAAGTTCTCAAACTCGCGGCACTCTGCGACAGTTTTCCAACCATTGTATTGATCAACCCACAGAGCCTCAGATTCACATGCTTTAGGTTAGAAACTGTTCAGTCCAAAATGAAAACAAAGAAATGGGGTTGGATCGGACCAAACCAGGTTTGAGATTAGAAGGGCACCAGGAAAAAAAGGAACAAAAACCGGCTCCATTTCGGGACCTTTATGAGCACCAACATAAGTAAACATTTTTTTCGGCGAAGGGCATGCTGCAAGCCCAGCGCAACTGCAACGACTGATTTGCAAGCTGGTGTGCCTTGAAAGCCCGTGCGGTTGAACGAGAAGTGGCCCACATCCACCCAGGCTTCGGCTTCGTAACTCCACATGCTAACGGCACAAGCGCTGCGGGTCCAATACACTGTCAACTTGGAAAATGTAAACTCTGGCAGAGCGTCTCGAGTAGTGGCCTTCAAGGAATCCCACTCAAGCCCTTGGTAGTCGATCTTCTTTGTGAACTTCAGGATTTTTTTCATGATGCTCTCGTCAAATTCATTGTCATGGTTGGCTGGAGCGGCAACCACCCGTTTCTTCTTCTCCTTCTTCTCTTTGAGATTGTTTTTCTTGACCTTCTGCGATGGCTTCTTTGGTGATGCCTTCACCTTCGAAGGCGGTTTGGCTGCGTGCTTCTTCTTCCGGGGCTGCTGGTCCATTTCAGTCTCAGGCATCTCCTCATTCTCCGGCTTCTTCTGTTTGGTTGACTTGGCAGGCTTGCTGGAAGAGGGGACTGGAGCCTCACAGACATGGTCACCCACCCGACGGACATTTTCCTGAATGACTCGGGGCCTCTTCTTCTCAGTCTCCATGGTCTTGTCCTCGTTATCGTCATCCGCCTTCTTCCATAGTCCATCATCGAGCACCCACCTCTCGTACTCTTCCCACACCTCAGCATCAGTGAGTTGTGGTACCTCAGGTTCTTTCCCATGTCCATGGCCACGACCGCCACGACCACCACGGCCCCGGCCACGTCCCCGACCCCTTTCCTTCTTCGGCTTTGCTGCAAGCTGATCTCGACGAGTCACACCCTGACGGGATAGAAGCAATCTGGTGGTGACCCTTGCTAATTGAAACCATTTTGTTATAGAAACCAGTCTGGGGGTCACATGGCAAAACACTGCTGGTTACTTTGGGCACTGAAGGACCTTCTCAGCATGGTCAGCGAGAGCCAGAAGATCAGCAACATCCGCATCGCCGGAGGCAGGAACTGACTTGGGGACCTTGGGAACTTGAAACTTTGCTCGAAGGGTATCCGGATCCTCAACTTGTTGGACCTTCAGAGGAGAGACTTCTGGAATGGGGAGCGACGTCACATCCATGGGCTGCGTGTCTACCGTATCCACATTGCATGGTCCTAACCAGCAGGCAAAAAGTAAACCAAAACACGGACAAGTGAGCAGCGTTTGATACGAATTTTTTGAATACAAAATAATATAAACATATGCTGCATTTTGATGCATTTTGACTTTCTTGTCCTGGTGGGGCCACGGCACGTGTCACAACTCGGCCAGAATCCGCAGCCAGGTTTCCATCCACCTTCTTTTGCTTCGACGCTCGGAGCCTCACTTGTGCTGGGAACCGATGCAGACAAAGAAGAATATAAGAATTTGGGTTTCTTTTAGAAACATGCGAAAATGAAGAAAATGTAATAATTTCTTAATTGCTTTGGAAAAGACGCTTCCAGCTCGGCCTTTCGTTGCGCCAACTCTTGTAGCAAAAGATGCTTTCGGAATGCTTCATGGGCAGGATCAACTTCGTTAGGAACCGAACATGCATTGCCTCATGTTCCACTGAAAAAAGAAGGTGGTAATGAAAGTTGATGTACATAGGAAACATTTTGAAATATCGACTAGAAACTGGGGCTCTCCGATGTTGGTTTGCTCGGCGTGGCTGCTGGTGACATTGTTGCACCAGTTTCTGGAAGGGCAGCACTTGCAATAGCCTCGGAACTCTCAGGCTGGACAGCCGGCTGCACTTCGTTCAAAGCACGAGGA